CCACAAAGGACAGTTACGTGGTTTGCTCACGATAAAAGTTAACGTTAATTTTGATGAAATCTATGAAAAACTAACGGTAGGGGGCAAATCGGAAAAAAAAAATAGATTAAGTCCTTAATTTTTCAATTAAAAAGTTTATGAGGGAAATTAAAAGTTGAGTGATAGTTCAGAGGGCAAATTGACACTTTACTCTAAAAAAAAATTAGGGATTGTGGTTAGGATTTTCACACTCTTTGTTTTTTTGCTCAACTCTTCCACTTGACTCTCTTTCTCACTCCTTATAAAAATGGTGTCTACTCTCCTACTCTCTAGATTCTAGAGAGAGAGAGAGAGAGAGAGAGAGAGAAAGACTTCCAAAGTAAAAACAAAGCAAAAATCCAAACCAAAGCAGTTGCCTTTCCCAATTCAATATTTCATTCATTCATCCACACTTGCAGTTTTTCAGTTGGGGGTAAAATTATTAAATTTAAAATCCTCAATTCATCCCAACCTCCTCCTGTCCTTGCTCTCCCACAAGAAGCAGCAGATCACAAGGGCATTTCTGTCATTCACGACCCTGCTCACATGATCGCCTCCGGTTCCGGAAACGCCTTCATCTCCGGCGGAGGAGGTTTATGGGCGGCGGCGCCGTCGTACATGACCATCGGCGTCACGGCCTTGGCTGGGCTCGCGGTGGTCGTGGCCGTGTTCTGCACTGCCACTAGGTAAAGAAATTAAAAAAAAAAGCTCTGAAATTTCTCAAAAAAGCTCTGGAATTTTTGAAAAACGCAAACCCTAGGACAAAAATTCACTGATAGATGAGAGCTCTACGACGAACTCACACTTCGTCGTCGCCTTCGAGCTCGAATTCATCTCCTTCTTCGTCTTCGTCGTCGTCTTCGTGGATTTATTTGCGTTCGGTTCTGTTAGTCGTGTCATCTTCTTCACCAGCTCATTGTTCTTCCTCTGATCGGTGAGTCTCTCTCTCTCTCTTTCTCCAAAGCTTTTCTTTTTAGTTTCCGCTCTTAGATCCCGATCTCGGGGAGCTTCAAGTTCATGTTTTTAGTACCAATTTTAGCTCAGTTCCACTGTTTTAATGGCGTTTTCTCGTCAATTCGTTCTTTCGGGTCACCTTCTTCATTCGCATTTTGGTCCTCCTTGAAAATTGTTACTCTTTCAGTTGCTTAAAAAATTGTGGGTTCGATACTTCGATGTGTTGGGCAAGCCACATTGGTGGTTTCATTTGCGTATCGATTTGCTTGTAGAAGATTTGTGTTGTTTTTGTCTCATGGTTCCAGTCAAATTAGGGTTTTTATGTTTTAATATGATAAGTGTTTGAAGTTTGTATTTTAAGCTGCAACTGAGCAACAATGCAGTGGTTTAATAAGTCATAAACCCGAATCGAGTTAGGTTTTACTAATCTTCTCAACAGATAGATGGATTGAAATGTTTTGGATATTCAAAGTCAATTGTTTAAGCTGCAAAGCTATTGCATTAATCGGCATTTTAATCCTTGTCGATAATTTTCTCTAGCAAGTTGATTTGCTTAGACTTGGCCCTTCGAGGCAGCGTCCGTAGAACATCCAGACTTTTGAAATGATATATTATTCTGTTGACTTATGGCAAGACTGTTTCTTTTATATGAAGGGTTCAACTTTTAGGATGTTTTTATTGGCCTAACATTTTCGTTCATTTAGGCATTACTATTTTTCATACAGTTGATGCTTCCTTAATCTTACCATTACTAATTGCACGTATTGTTTTATTTTCAGGGTTCGTCTTAAGTCGCCTTGGTCCCGCAGGAAAAGAAAACATGCCCTTTCACCTCAGCAATGGAGGCTTTTCTTTACGCCTGATGGAAAGCTTCGAGATGGTGGAGTTAAGTTGGTGAAGAAAGTTCGCAGTGGGGTGAGTTGCTGTCACATTCGTATTATACTTTTTGTGTTAAGAATGCTCTAACATCTAATTTTTGTATGTATTCATGCTTCCATCATTGACGTTATTCATCTTAAATTGTTTTGAATGCAGGGTGTTGATCCAAGTATTAGGGCAGAAGTTTGGCCATTCCTCCTTGGAGTGTAAGCATGTCCAACACCTCTTTTAAGTTTTTAACTAAAACATTGCTGCATTAATACCTTGCATCTCTGAGATAGACCTCGCTATGTGATATTTTGGCTTCACCATCAGGTGTTTTGGTGTATCATTCCTAGCAGAGGATTATATGCTCTTTCCCTACTATTCGTGTAGATTATTGCTTCTAGACGTCTCATTAGGTCCAAATCAAACATAATGACTGCTAGATACATGAGCTTTTATTTAGGTCTGGTTCTGGGTTGGGAGCAGCTCATTTTAGGCTTAGACCTGACATTTTGTGCTTTTGAACACTTCGTTGTGTAGTCAATGTAAGTCAAAGCTTCAAGAAAGTATTTTTTTTCTCCACTTAAGAAGTGTAATGCGATTCCTTCTGAGTTGATGACATGAGTTTTTGAAATAAAATCTGACCACTGTGCTGATTCCTGTTCTGCATATACATTAAAATGTTGTTTTCGGAAAGTGATGAAACCATACGTACATATGTTGACTGGATTTCTCTGTCTCAACAGCTATGAATTAAACAGTTCAAAAGAAGAAAGAGATGTTGTAAGATCTCAGAAAAGGTACTAATGCCAATTCCATATAGTTTCTTTTGTAGCTTTATGTTGCATAAGTTGAATAAATTCTCTCCAGTTTAGTAATTCTCTGTTTCTTATCCATTGGCCTTGCTAAATTTATGGTACGTTGTTCGAATATTTTGTTGCAGAAAGGAATATGAGAAACTCCGCAGACAGTGCCGCCGACTCACAAAGCGCAAAAATGATAGCTCCAAGTTGAATGGGGACAGTTGTAGATTCACCCATGATACAGATTCACCCAGCTCTGAGGATGTGGTTAGCGCCAGGGAATCCCTTTCTAGTGAAGATAAGATACCAGATGCTGAATACTCAGATGACCCTTCCAGTACGTTGTTGGATGGAGATGATGATGGTTCAAGAGAAAACACAAATGCGGATGCCAAAGACTCTGACTCATCTGACTCGGACTCCTCTGAAGAACCTGAGGTGATTCAGGCTTTCCCCTCATGTGAAGGGAGGGAAGAAAATGATCCTGATGTGACTTCCAAGGATGAATCTTCTCCCTTGAGGACGGAAGTCCAACCAAAGCTAAACAGTGAGGATTTTGCCACATGGCAGCGGATCATACGCCTTGATGCAATACGAACTAATTCAGATTGGATTCCGCACTCCCCATCTCAAGCTGAAGTGTCACACGATAGGGCATCACGTTCTGCTGAGGCTGTTGGGTTGAAAGATTACAGTCACTTGGAGCCTTGCAGAATTTTCCATGCTGCTAGACTAGTTGCTATTCTTGAAGCATATGCACTCTATGATCCCGAAATTGGTTACTGCCAGGGTATGAGTGACCTGCTTTCTCCTATAGCTGCTGTAATAACAGAGGATCACGAGGCTTTCTGGTGTTTTGTCGGTTTCATGAAGAAGGCTCGACATAATTTTAGGCTTGACGAGGTAGGGATCCGAAAGCAGTTGAGTATCGTTTCTAAGATTATCAAATGTAAGGACTCCCACCTATACAGGCACTTGGAGAAGCTCCAGGCGGAGGATTGCTTTTTCGTTTATCGGATGGTGGTTGTGCTATTTAGAAGAGAGTTAACATTCGAACAGACAGTATGCCTCTGGGAGGTAATGTGGGCCGATCAAGCAGCCATTAGGGCAGGGATCGGAAAATCTGCGTGGAGCAGGATAAGGCAACGAGCCCCACCAACAGACGATTTGTTACTTTTTGCAATCGCAGCTTCTGTGTTGCAGAAGAGGAAACTGATAATCGAAAAGTACAGCAGCATGGATGAGATTATCCGGGAGTGCAACAGCATGTCCGGGCAACTTGATATATGGAAGCTCCTCGACGATGCACATGACTTGGTGGTAAACCTCCATGACAAGATAGAGACATCTTTCTCATGACTGCGTATATCGGTAGCATAGTTCGTTATCATGGTTGTTTCCCAGAATCCGGTTATTCGGAGCATCCAAAATAAGCACGTCGGGAGCTCACTCCAATCAGACTATCAGAGTCAGTGCTGATCAATTTTACCACTTTCTTCAAGCTTGCTTAAAAGTGGTGGTGTCAAACGTTGAAAAGATTAATTATTTAGATTTATCTGCGTTGTATTCTTCTCTGTTTTACCGCGTGATTCCATGGTTTGCAGGTAAAACTCCTGTATGAGTATTCCATGTGTTCCCAAATTGTTCGATTTAGAAATAACACTGTTTGTTGCTTATAAAAATATAACCACGCCCATGAGTTATAGGCCTTCTTGTTCCCCCTAAACTGCCCTTCAAAGTTGGGGAGCCTTGCTAAAGTTTATCCCTGTTTATTTGTCTTTTGGTGAAAGATGGGAGATAATTCCACCTGCCAACGTGGGTTGGTTGAATTGGTAAGGATCGATCTCTTCGCTGGACCAAGGTATAGGTTCGAGTCTTGCTGTAATTGGTCTGTAAGAACCCAACTCAAAGATGCTTGTGGAATGTCCTGTTCTGGGTTTAGAGAGGAGAAAAACGGGAGCTTTTCTGTGGATTCGTTTTATCATGTGGTCCTGGAGTTTTATCAATGGAGGAGGATTCTCTACCCTTCCATGCCCTCCTATTGATCGGTCACGGTTAAACCACGTCAACATCTTATATTGATTTTTTTTATAAAGATAATAAGAAAAAAAACAACGTGTGAGAGGAAGGGATAAAAGGAGATCGGAATAGGAGGGTAGAGAATCCTATGCGGTCTCTAAAATGGCTTATATTCCCACAATTTCCCACAGCGTCCAGGACCACATGGTGGAACGAATCCACAGAAAAGGTAAAACGTCATAAACAAAACCTGCGACATTGACACCAGCACACACTGGTCTTAAATGCAACACACAACAATTGCCTTTGTGAGATCAGCAACAAATAATGAACAGGAATTCATATGGAAATAATAACAAGAAGAACAATCCTTTAATTTAAGATCAACCGTTGTACAATCTGTCAATCACCTTATAACCAAAAAGACGCTAGAAACCAACCGACCGACCGACCGTCGGATGAACAATGACGGAAACCAAGAACGACATAACTGAAACGAGCAATCGCAGAATCTTGATGAGTAACTAATCCTTACAAGCGGATATACTGAAATAGAAAGACTCTACTCTTTCTTGGTGTAGTGACGGACAGCGAAGGCCAACCCCAAGATTAAGAGCGGAACCAGAAACTGTAGAATCTTGATCACGAATTCGGATGTCTTGTCAGGATTGTATTGACCTTGTGGTGGTGGAATGTAAGTCCGTTTCAATGGGACAGTTGACTGATCAACCTCACCAATGTAGTACTTCTCCATCATATCCCTGGCTGAATCACTGTGACCAACATCTTCGAAATCATTTGTTGCATCTTTCCCTACAGTTTTCAAACAAAATTAGTCTCATAAACCCTACTGGCTTGCAGGTTGAGAAAAAGGGTACGTATTAAACGAATGCCTTACCAGTTGCAGATAGAAGAACTTCATCGCCTCCGGGATGATCATCCATGAATGGTGTCACATCATACACCTGAAAATTGACATTCCAAACCATCGGTAAATCAGCCTATTCTAACTATCAAAGTTTTTGTCGCAGCTAGCAGATTTAGTTTTAAGATCTAAACTCCATACAATCTTGGTTTATGTTTGTACAAAAGGAAAACTAATGAAAAATGCTTGAAAACTAATGAAAAGGGCTTTTCGTTAAAGTGAACAGTATTGAAAATTTTTCGTTAAAATAAACAGTACCGGAAGTTTTTCGTTAAAGTTACCTACAAAAGGAAAACTAATGAAAATGACTTGAAAACTTTGAGTATTAACGATAAAGACAAAATAAAGGGTAAAGTGAAAAGTACTATGATTGACATTTTAGTGTAAAAATGTGATTTTTCGTTAAAATGAATAGTCCCACGAGTTTTTCGTTAAAGTTCCCATTGAATTAACCAAAATCATATCAAGGGACTGATACAAGGCGACCACTGAGGAGTGGGACCGTGACGAACACGACCACATTGACATGCAAAAATATAATAGTCAAATTCTGGGTCGGGGGTATTTCTCATATTCCTAGATTTTCTCAGCGACCAAACAAAGGATAAATCAATCAATCAACTGGGAACCGAATTTTACAGTACAAGAAGCAAATATCCAATCAAGATAAAGATCTGACCTTCCCGGCAATAATCAGCCAGCAATCTTTGGTTTTGTTGTGCTTCGCTACCTCTTCAAATACGTGAACTTTTGGATCTGAAGCCATCTTTCACTGCCACCATGGTCCATGCACAAATCACCAAAAACGTTAAAACCCACATAAATTTGTGCACCAAATCCTCGAAATTTCATCAAACAACAGCTTCTACCAATCTCAAAAACCAAACTTCTGAAAAACCAATTAAAACCCACAAAAAATTATGCACCAAGGCCTCGAAATTTCAACAAAAACAGCTTCCACCAATCACAGACAACAAAATTTTGAAATACCGATTAAAACCCATGAAGGATTGAACACAAATTCTAAAACAAATAAAAAAATTAACAAGAGAGAGAGATCGTGAATTGAAGAACAAAGATTGATGAAGAATTGGGACTCACCTGCGAGAGAGAGCAGGCTCTGCGACTGCGAGATGAACCGTGCCGCTTTGTTTTCTCAGAGTAGGAAGTCAGCAATTTGATTTAGGGAGCCATATACGGACGAGATCTTGTGGATTCCCAAAATGCCCTTCGAATTCAGGAAAATTACGCACTTGTTATCTAGGACTTATATGATTTTTAAAAGATAACTTTAACGAAAAACTCCTGATACTGTTCACTTTAACGAAAAATCATATTTTTACATTACAAAGCTAATCATAGTACTATTCATTTTACCCTTTATTTTGTTATTATCGTTAAAACTCAAAATTTTCAAATTCTTTTCATTAATTTTCTTTTTTAAAAGGTAAACATGTCTCGTCGCAAACTGCACCCAAAAACCTTCTCCCACAGGTTTCTGCCTACCAACGAAAAACTAGAAACCACACAGAAGCAAATTCCTAAACGTTTTTAATTTTTCAATTTTTGGTATGAACATTTCAAAAACGTATCACCACGTGACAATTTTTAATTAATGTGTGATATTATTTAAATACATGATTTTTTATGCTGGAAAAACACATGACGGTGGCCAAAGAAGGTTGAAACTTGAAACCAACCCCCGACTTGGAGTTGGCTCACAGCCTCCGGGCATCAAAGGCCTAGTCTTCGGCCAGTTTGGGAATGGTTTTGTAGGATATAATTTTACTTATATTCACTTTTGCTGAAAGCGCTTTTATTAAAAGCAGATGTTTTTCAAAATGACTGAAATCGTTTTTGGTGCAATAGTTTTCAGAATTAATCCTTAGTAAAAAGACAAATGAATCTAGGAAAAGCACTTCAAGTGCTTTTGGAACCTAAAAACATTTAAAAGCGCTTTCAGTCATTTTAAAAGCACTTCCAAACCAGCCATATAATGCTTATCTAGAAAGCACTAAAATTTGCTTAGTGCTTTTGCCAACCGTGCCAAAAACGAGCCTTAAAATTGCTTATAGAAAGCACTAAAAGTTGAAAAGTTGAACTTAAAGTTTTCACCTTCGGGGGTGCTGGCAAACCAAGCAGAAAACAATACCAGTCATTGACATACATCGGTGGTGGTGGTCCAAAAATGGATGTCTTGCATCTGATGTGTGAACTTCTTAAACCATGCATCTTTCACCGGCTCCAACCTTATCGATACAACAAACGTGGATTAAGCTAGTTGATCAATACAGTGTTATCAGCCCTTGCTTTATAAGACGAAGACTCAATATATAGGATCATTGGGACCAAGGTATAAAAGAGGTAAATATGAAGAAGATAACCCCGTATATCTACGTAGATACTGTAGTAGTCTACGACGGAAGGAAGAAGAAGAAGGTGCAATCTCATAGGGGAAAATGCAGATACAATATGAAAAATGCGGGTTAAGCCTGATCAGGATAGTGTTCCGTCATCTACTATACTAATGCTACATTACTTTATGTATTACCTGAAATTACATATTAGGGAACTAAACTATTATCATTAATTCCCCTATACTGTGCTGAAATTGCACCTGCAGAAATTATATGTACTCGAAAAACACAACTACGAGTCTACGGCGCAAACTCAGCTCTACTTATTTGCCAAGAAGTTCATGCAGATGGGAGGTTGAATCTTGGCCAATGCAAGAATCGACGAAGGGAGAATCCACAACCCGTCTCCACATATCAAACCGGAAGCAACTGCCGGAACCATTGAACTTGCCTTGTTATTATTCAGCTTGTGCCAGACGAACACAACCAAACTCCCCATGCACATATCAATTGCAAAGTACGCTCCAACGAGGAACGGGACAGCCATTGCCATTGGAAGCGGAACATATTTCCCGATTTTCTTAGGAGCAAGATCTCTCAGCAGATTAGTTGCTATGGCAAATGAGAAAAAACCATAACACAGCTGCAAGCAATGCTGGGGCAGGGCAGAGAAGCCTTCAACGCCGAGAATTGCCATGTTTCTGTATATGATAGCGTAAGGGGCTTTGTATTCACCTTCTGGATCCCCAATGTTAAAGGCCTTGTAGAAGAGAAAAAATGTAAGAGGAGCTACCACACAGCCTATGGCCGTTCCAATAGCCTGGCTTAAAATCATTGATCGAGGAGACGTGAGAGTGAGATGAGCAGTCTTTAAGTCGTGCATCAGATCGGAGGAGATAGAAACTATTGATTTGATCAGACCACAGCCTACAAGTCCAGCAACAACACCATCGTTTTTCCCAGCTACGGCAGCAAGCACAAAGAGAGCCACTTTCCCGTAGTTATAAGCCATGTTCATGTCAGTTAGACCCGCACCATAAGCATTGCAGAAGCTTAGAGAGGGTGCAATTAGGTAGGCTACGACTACATAATACCATTTCAGTTGAGGAAACATAAGCGGGATGATAATGATGGAGATGACAGAGAACAAGGTGTACCCTACGCACGCTACCCAAACGGGAATGTTATCCCTTATGAAGACTTCATTTCGTCGAAGATCATCAACATTTGCATTCTTGTTATTTGAAGCTGCAGGAGAGAGATAGTGTAATGATGGACTCAAATTATTTCATTTCGCACACAAAGCATAAACCATGCAAAGTCGCACACTACCTGTTTTAAGGTTCTTGTTCATCATTTTCATGTGGATGTTTGAGCCAGTAAAATATAGTATCTTGAGAAAATTGTACAGCCCGTCTCCTAGTATCAGGGAAATGGAAATGAAAACCTGCAGCAAAACAAAGATACACGAAACTCAATTGATCTCTATGACAAAATCAGTAAGAATCTGGTTAAGAAATGGACTTGAATGTCTAGTCCAAACCTTGTAACCGTTTAGACTCTTCATACTACTTTCCGATAAAGTTGCAGGAAACCACTCTCCCTTAAGACCCCTTATCAATGGCCACATTACTCCCCAAGAGAGAATGGCGCCGAGGAGCAAAGATAAGTTCACGAGATGAGAACAGATCATTCCTGCTCCTATATAAGTCATACTGAAATCAAAGTAAAATCTGCAAAATTCAATTTATGCAATCAATAACGAGAGAAGGATCAATCATGACAAGCAGAAGGGAAATGAAAGACACAAAGCACGCACGAATTTCTCCAAGCGGTCAATCCAAATGTTGGAAACTGAGCGAATCCACATTGCTCTCCTCCAGAATAAAACCACTGAAAGAAACCCCACAAGAAACTAGCTGAAAAGAATTTCATGAACATGTGGACCTGCTGTCTGCAAGAAGAATCTCAACATGTTAAGAGTTCTTTCAAACTCAAGTCCTATTTAGTCTTAAACCGAAGATTAAGTCATATAAACGGATGCCTACTTAGCCATCTTGTCACCCTTTGGAGTATGGAACCCGTTAATAAGGACAGCAGTAGCAGTTCCGCTCGGGTATGCTAATTTATAGTCTATTATCATGATCTGCAAAACAACCCAAACTGCATTTCTAAACACCTTTCGGAATCAATAACTTTGTCAATTTCAAACACACAAGCAATCTCAACCTCTTTCTCAATAATTTAGCAGTTCAAAAACGTAACCCAATTTACTTTTTCACTCCCACAAACAAACCTTTTGTGTTATCGAAAGTTAGACTTACCTTTCTGAGAGGAACCAAAGCCAGCAGCCCAACAAAACTACTAACAAATAGAAAACCAGTCATCCAACCAATCGCTGGTTCCTTGGTGCTCCCGGGAGTGTTCCCCTCAGTATCAACCCCAACTTGCTCGTAAGTCTTTCGGTTTAGACCCAACAGATACGAACCAAAACCACCTGCAATGCCACATATTTCAGCAAAACCCCATATTCAAAATTTCAAAATATTATGAAACCGAATCATCAACACGAAAAAAATAACAAAAGCAGAAATTTTTCTGACCTCCAACAGCAATGCTATAACACGCAACTGCACAAGTTTGAATTATTGTATTCTCCTGCCTGGTGAAGGGAGTTGATACAACTCCAGCCTTTTGAAGCAGCTTAGTCCATGACCGGATGAACACGAAAGCGAGAAGTGCAGCCGAAACATTGAGATTGGGAACCAAACCAGTGGTGAGGTTCAACTTCATCACTATAACACTGTAAATTACCCCAATAATTACGCTGGCTACGAGTCCCCGGACTGTAATCTGCCTTCTCCATGGGACTATTCTGTTCAAATCCTCCTGTGGCTCACATCCATTCTCTTCAATCCCATGTCCATTCTCTGTCTCAAACGTCTCGATCTCTCCGTTTTCGCCATTGGTGTTCCCCATTTGGTCTAAAACCCCTTCGCTGATCAGATAGAGTCAAATGAGAGAGAGAGTGTGAGAGAGAGAAAGACTAAAATTTAGAAAATTTGATGATATGAACATGTTTTCTCAAGACCATTTCAGTCAAAAAATCAAAGAACTAATCTGATAGCTGAAATGAAATAAACACAGAAGAACACAAAAACCCATCAACGATATTACCTCAACTTTCTCTTCTTGTTCTTCGATCGAGAGCTGGAAATTTCAGAAATTTACAAATGGGGTATCCGCAGACGAACCCTTTTCTCAATCTGCAATCTGAAATCTGAAATCTGAAATCGTCCAGATTGCTTATTGCGTTGAGAGAGAGGGTTGACTCGCAAGAACCCGCCAAAAAGATCAAAACTTTACAGAGAAAACGGAAAGAAAGAAAAAGCCCCACTGATCCACTGCCACGCTGTTGTTTGTGCTGAGAATTTGAGGAATGGCTAGTGGCTACCACACGCCAAAAATATTTATAATTCGATCGGAAAAAGTAGAAGCAGAAAACTCAGAGGAAAAGTCGTCGTCTCTGCATGTACTGCAATGAAGTACTGAACAGGCTTTTGTAGTACATGATATCAACTTTCGATCCACCCCGCTCAAACAAAAAAACAAAGAAGAAACTGTTTTTCCTTAACGACTGCTTTTATGAGTGTGACTTGAGGATTGGTTTGGTATTGCTGTGTTTGAAAAAAATTGTTTTTGTTGTGATGTGAGAATAAGATAACTGTAAAATAAAGTAACAGATTTTTTAGTAAATTTTTTTGTAAAAGTGCTTTTGGAAAAAAAATCAGTATTATAATGTTTGGTAAACTCTATGTGAAATGATCCAAAAAGGTATAATACTAATGTGCCATTAATTTAATTTTCTTAACAAATAAAGTGAAATACTAAATATACTTTATTTTTAAAAGAAAAATATTTATAAATTTTATCTTAAATATATAATTCAACGTTTAATAAAAAATCATAATCCAACATTCAACATATAATCCAACATTTATGTTTCTTCACTTTTTCAGCTTTTTTTCAAAGCTCATTTTTGTTTCTTCTCGTTTTCAGTTTTTTCATCCAAAACTATGAAAATAAGTTGTTTTTAAGTGTTTACCAAATACCTTTTTGAGCTTAACTTTTTTTTATACCTATTTTTTATAAAAGTACCTTAGTACCAAATCAATACTTAAACATGGCGCACTCGGTTGGGAAAAGACTGAGCTTTTCTTATACTCCCCACAAAATAATAAATAAAAAGAGAAATGAAATGCCAACAAGATTGGCTCGTTTGGTAAGGTTTTTGTCAAGCGCGTTTGGTATTTATGTGAACGGAAAGTGATCCTCTTCGGATCCTTTTCATTGAGATCATCGAATCAAGTGATTTGGATATATAAAATTTCATTCAACAACATACATGTTTTGATCCCTTAATAACTATAATAATTTTGGACCGTTTAATGAAATTTCAAAAATTCGGATCACTTAATTTGGTAACCTTGATGAATGAAATCCACAAAAGATCTCTCTTTATGTGAACGAGGGGCCGTAATCCAAGATAACGGAATATTCATTTTGCGTCTCAGCTCAATTCTTCGCACTCAAATCAAATGTCAGGGTATGAAAAAAAACAAAACAAATAGACTTAAAAGGTAAGGTCAATAACCACAAGCTGCAGACAGTGGACCACAAAACCCGATAGCGGGCGGGTGCGGCTCCTTGGACGGGGGTGGGTTGTCATTTACCAAAAATAGTTTATTCTTTTCAGTCAATTTATCTGCATTGATTAAGTACTTATTTAGATGTTCTTTTTAAATTGTTAAAAGTGTTTTTAGAAAAATTATTTTTAGATTTCAAAAGCACTTGAAGTGTTTTTTACAAGAAGCACAAGTTATATACCTCTTTCATGAAACACTTTACGTACTTTTACAGGATGTACTAGCATTTTTACTAACGATTGTTTTAAAAAATATTTTCATCAAAAACGCTTTCAGTTATTTTAAAAGTATATCCAAATAAATCTTAATAAAAAAACTAAAGTGTTTCTAGTAATTTGTTTCGATCTCAAAAAAAGCAAATTACCAGGCTGTCTTTTTTGAAAAAAAAAAAACCAAAGTATTTGGAAATAATGCGTATATAAAGCAAAAGTTTTCATGGCCATTGAAAAGTTGCTTAGAGATTCAACTAATATTGGTAAACAACTTGTAAACCTACAGGGTAACACCATATAATACTATGATTGTTAATGGTGCAAAGAGCGCTGACAAGGCATATTCTTTCTTTTTCTTTGACTTTTAAGTTCCTAATTTGATTATAAATTTATTTCACTCATCCATCAACAATAAGAATGAGTGATAAAAATACAATTTTTTTAATTGTAAGATCTGGAAATTTGACGTTGTTTTTCAATGGAGATGTAATAAATGACGTGATAGTTGAGTCATTTGATTCCTTACTCTCTATCTCACTTTAATTTAACATTTATATTCAATTTGCCATATCAGCAATCAAATAAAGTTTGACATGTTAAATTTGACATCTTATTTCTTTTCTTTTTTTTTGGTAAAAACCACAAAGTGTCCCTAGACCCGAAGGGTGGGACTAATCTCTGCTCGAGATTCGGCTTGCCTATGGCCACAAAGTGCTCTCAACTGGTTTCGAACCCCTGCTAACTGAAGGTGGCATTTGCCAACTGCACTACATCTTGTGGTTATTTTGACATCTTTTTTAGAAATGCTCTTAGCTGCTAACCTTTATGCTATGGAGACTATCTCAAAAGTGAAACTTTTCATAGACTTTCTGTCACCTCATAATTTAACGTTAATTTTTATGCCGACATTACAAAACATTGTGAAAAAAAAACATGAAGTATGAGACAGTCCATTAAGAGTTCCACATTCAAAAGAATCTCCTTATTATTTCTCTATATCGTATTTTATTTTTTAAAATAATTAAAAGTCCACGAACACCATATCATATCGCTAAAGGAATGTATATGAACATTTTGGGACCACAAATAAGTCCGCAAAACTCACAGAAGACGAAATGTCTTCATAGATGATAGTTTGGATTCTTTGGATCTTTTTTTTTTAGCAACCATTCAAATTTAACCAAATACGTTATGAAATTCCGTTTGTTTCGTCTGCTACTTGAATTCTACTTGGAAATTTCGAAAGCAGGAATCTTCATGTTCATGTTACTTATTTATGTACGTTCTAGCAATGTCACATCTCTCTTTTGTTCTTCATATTTAGAAAAAGAGTAATAAACTAATAAATAATTAGTCTAGCTTTAGCAACTTCATAGCAGTTATCAAAAAGAGTTTGTACTAAACAGACCGGAGGTTCTGTAAGCTCTTGAACATCTATCTCGCTATTTAAACCCCAACTTGGCTAACAAGTCAGTTGCAAAATTGCGCTCTCTATGAATATGCTGCAAATTGCATCTCCAAAGCTCTTGATCAAATTTCTGCACTACGAGACAAGACCATAGAGAGGATGACTAAGGCTTAGAGACCCATGAATGAGAGACACCACCAAAGAATAACCATTTTCACATTATTCACTCCGCTTCTTAATATCTAAAAATACGCACAATAAAACTAGTTACAAATTCTTAACCAAAATAGAAACATAAGGGATGTCTTTATACGTGTAAGCAACATAAGGGAATGTGTGAATCGAACTCGGAACTAAAGGTGCAAGAGTGAACGATCTTAACCAACTAATCTACAAGCCTTTTACAAACTGAAGAGATACTAACCTATAGTTTTATAAACGACTTCTTGTATGTAAAGTACCTCTTGATTTTATTTGACTTAATAAAGAGAGTCCGTAAATGTTAGTTAGATCAGTTAATCAAGTCAGTGCACCCAAATTCACACTCACCTCCTCCTACATAATATAGTTTAAAACATCGTCTTGTCCAAAAAAAAAAACGAAGTCATGGGCCAACCCATAAGACATTTACACGTCCAAAACGCGAGCCCAAATCTCATCGGCCCGTACTTGAAACTCCCACGAAAAGCCAACGGCCACAAACGAAATTCTCAGCTTGTTTACCAAGCAGAGCAAGAAATACCCAAATAAAAAGTAGAAACCTTTCTTCCAATCCACACCCCTGTTTCTTAAATCCAATTCCTAATTTGCTATAATTTGCAAAGGGGCTCTGGAAATTGGGGATTAATTCGACTTTGTGAATTCTGCTGTACAATTTCAAATGGGGGGTTCACGGGAGAGGGAGACCAAGTTCGTCCAGGAACTGGTACTGTACGCGGCAAGCGCGGCGTTGAGTTGCTTGGTTTTGTTCGTGGGGCTCCGGTATCTTGATCCGAACCGGGAAGCGTCTAAGAAGGCCTTGGAGAACAAGAAGGAGATCGCCAAGCGACTCGGCCGACCGCTTATTAGCACCAACACTTACGAGGTAAAGAGACGCCATTTCTGGCTTCTGGGTTGTTCTTAACTTGCTGTTTCGTGGATTTTATTTTATTTTTGGAAATAATCTTTTTTTTTTTTTTTGGATAATAGTGATCTGGTTTTTTGTAATATGTGGATTTTGAGAGATGATGAATTTTGATGTTTTTTTTGGGGGGGTTTAGAGGGTTTTTGGTGCAGTTTCCTTAAATTTTAGGCGTTTTTTGCTGTTTTCCTTCATGCATTATGGTGCAATCGGTTTGATTTTTGTTAATACTTGGTATGTGAGTTAAATTATTTGAATTACTTGGGGGACATCCAATAAAATTGGAATGATACTATTAGATTTCGTGACTTATCCAATAAAATTGGATAGAGTAATGCTGATATAGTATTCGTAATCAGGATGTTATAGCCGGCGATGTTATAAACCCCGACGACATTGAAGTAGAATTTGGATCTATTGGAGGACTAGATGCTATCAAGGAAGCCTTGTGTGAACTAGTGATCCTTCCGCTACAGAGGCCTGATTTGTTTTCCCACGGGAAGCTCCTTGGTCCACAAAAAGGTGTCTTGCTGTATGGACCGCCGGGTACTGGAAAGACAATGCTTGCCAAAGCTATTGCAAAGGAGTCTGGAGCTGTTTTCATCAATGTCAGGATATCAAATCTGATGAGCAAATGGTTTGGTGATGCACAAAAGCTCGGTGAGTGATATCAAATCTGATGTGCAAATATTCAAATAGGATTTTCTACCGTCTCTTCTCAGGTAGATTACGCATGTTTTATATCCAGTATCTTTCTCTCTGATTCTTTTTCTATGGTTCTGGATCTTACAATATCTTGGCAATATCTTTGTTAGCACTGTACGATTGTGAAGTATACGAAGGGAGGGGAGTGTGCTAGATGAATATAGGCCCTTTTTTTATAAGAGAGATAACTTCATGTAAGCTTTGATGTGATAGCTTTCATACTTTTATGCGTCTCACCACTTACTCAACTACCCATGAAACAACTACATCCATGTCTTTAGGAGTTAGGACTTTTATAGG